TTTAAGAAATATTATTTTAAACTGCTGGTCAGAATTGGTCAGAACTACAATTAAACACTGCAGTTTAATTGTATAATTCAAGATACCTCAAGAAGCAAATGCAAATTAACCAATCTCACATGATTGGGATATTTTATTAAAAGGTCACACAGTTACTGGTTCCTTAATTTCAGCTTCAGAAACAAGTATTCTTTCTGGAGTCAATTATTCTTTCTGTGTACATTTTGGTAGAGAGAAATCCCAAACTATATGACAGAACTGTATGATCTTTGCAAGTTTGTATGACAGAAATAAAATTTGGTAAGTTTTAAAGTGGTTAGTTGCATGGCAGTTATAAGCATGAACCTTTTTTGTGTATTATTAGCTATGTGTACACATTCCTGGCTTTATTTGATCCCTTTTATATAAAATGATGCACTGATTTCTAGGAATGATGCTTTAGTTTTCGATGTTCGCCTTATTTTAGACCATAGCTTACTTAGTTCAGCGTACAATAAAACATCCACTCCAATCTGCGGTAGATATTTTTATTATTTCAACAGCAGCTTTAGTAGTTTCTTTTCAGAAGTTCACTTTCTAACAAAGGACTTCAAAATCATTTATATTTTTTTGTAGGACATTGTTTTTATTCAGTAACATCATTTCTGTGTGTTCTGCACAGAAATTATAGCAAACCACTACCAAACCACAAATAAATTGATCAAATACAACAAATAACAATGTGAACCAGGTTCATTTAACCAATAATCTGCCTTTTTTTCCCGCCTGGTTTAGAAATGGCTGCAGCAGACTCTTGCACCACTAAAAATATTTATTGCTGGTTCAACAGCATCAAATGCTAGGTCCTTTTTTGTTGTCTTGGATTGAGATACAAATAACCTTGATAACCTACCGGAGATAATAAATGTCTCTTTGTGGAGGAGCGGCTGTGTGACTAAGTGCTGAGGAAGCAACAAACCAACTGAGCAAACCAGGTGAAGATGCATGGAATCTGGCAGAGGCTTGGCAGCAAAAAAAAATATTATTTAGAGGTTAAAGTACACAAAAGTGAACCAGCTGTGATTTTGTTTTCCAACTGTTTACATTAACATCTTTAAGTTGAATGGACGGGCAGGAGCAGCAGTGATCATCTTTACATTCAAATTAGATTTCAGTGAGTCTGTTCTATAACCTATAACCAACCGGATGCCGTGACGCATATCTGCGAAAACACCTGAAGCAGTTATGAAAGCAAAAGACCTTTTTCATAGGAACCGGAAACACTTTTAAGACAGGTGAAAAACATTTTGCTTGCTTGAGTCAACTACATAACTTCCATAACAGACAGTAAAAGAGCAGCAGTGCAGTCTTAACTTCTCTTCTCAGACCTGAAGTCTGCCCCATCATCAATGCAAGTTATGTTGTTAACATTTTTTCCACAATCCGTTTGTTCATAGAATCAAATATTGCTGTAGCAAAGTGCTGGCTGGATTATCATGAAGACTGAACACACCTTCAGAACAGACACTGATGAGCAAGAAAAGCTGATTCCTTAGGCAAGTCCTAAAGAAACAATTTTATCTTGCTGCATATTTCTTATATATGTATAAAATAAAAAGACATTTGTAAAGTAACTAAAACTAAATACAGATGTACTAAATCAAGCTATATGTGAGAAAGTACTAAGCTTTACCTATCTGTAAGGGCTTGACAAAATGTTAAAACTTTTAATAACAAAAAAGAAATTTGAAGTGTACTGCTGACATGACTAAACTTGTTCACAGTCTTTCCTCCTCAAGGTTACCAGGGTCAAAAGGGGGCCTATAAGGATTTCTTTGGGCCCTATAAAAGTGGGAGAGTTGTATCAAATCAGCATCTGCAAACACATCAAGAACTATCCATCTTTTGCTGGGCTGAATATTTTTTTTACTACTCTTGCTGCTGCTGCGAAACTTTATAAAAGATATGATAGATCCTAATGCAATGCAATCCCTATTGTGGAAACGTTAAAGTACAAAACAGCACAGAAGATAAAGCAAAGTGACAAATGGCAACAAGGACAACGCAAACAGCTTGTGCTTTCTTGCTGCACGTGGATGAACTGCACTTCAGAAACTAGAAAAGAACAGTTTCAGCACATACCAATCCACGTCAATGATAATGTCGCCCAAGACTACCAACACCTGCAAGTAACAAAACAATCATGAAAGAAAAGCACACTGATATAATTTGCGTATGATTTCAAGGTCACTTATTGCACCTGTAATCACAGAACCATCTGTGAAATTTAAGTATTTCAGAATATTGTTCACCAATTTGCTATTTATTCTATAAAATAAAAAAGGCTAATTAGTTAAATTATGATCAAAAAGACTGTGCTTTCCAGAACCAGTCACTAACATGTGCCAACCATGTGACAATTTATCAATCTTGGATTTGCTTCTCTTCCTCTGAGAGACAAATCTACTGCTTAAGTCTGTCTTTTTTTTTTCTTTTCTTTTTTTTGCTTCCTTTGGAATAATAAAAGAAACAAAATACCTTCAATATGTCTAAATAAATATGCATTGATTTTGAAGGTGTGAGAAAACTGGTAGAGTTAAGATAAATAAATGGGGAAACATCTCAGCGTAACAAGAAACAGGAAGGTGGGTTGGGAAGCAGAAATGTTTGTTTTGATAAGCAATAATGATCTGGTGTACGACCTTAAAATGTCACAATTTTGTTTCTCAGGGTGAGGAACTGTCAGACATAAAATATATGACACAAGTCTGCCAACTATGACCTCAAGCCTACAACAGTTGTGATATATACACAACTCATTTCCATTAGTTGATGAAAAACAAACTTGCATGCTTTTATAGTTAGTGTAATGTATAATGATTCTACCAGTATCGCAAATGGCAATTTAGATAACCAATAATGCATTTTATCTTGATTAAACAAAAGGTCATCAGTACTGACTTTATTTCCCTTTTAACAGCATAGTTTTTAAAAAAAATGGCTGAATGAGCTTTTGAACGAGTTCAAGAATAAAGCCTTCAATCAATGACCATGACCTAAAAAAAAAAACTGTGCTTTGAGAATAACGTATTAGCAGGTCATCGCTATAATCCGGTGAATATCTTAACGGACTAATTAAAACAACTGGAGGAATTTAACCGATTCCTCCTGCCACTATTCACAGGGTGCCTTCGGGCAAGGCAACAGAGCAAGAATGGCTTCATTTATCAAGCATCAGCACAAGACTGGAGCGGCGCTGGCCAGCTCTCAGGTGTTAGTATATATTTTTTCCTTTCTTTATATATATATATATATATATATATATATATATATATATATATATATATATATATATATATATATATATTCAACCTTCCTCCCCCAATACCGACCTTTGCTGTAAGTATATATGCTGTCAAACTGTCACAAAGCTGTTCATTCAAAATGTCAAACTTGAAGTTATCAAACTGCTCAGGATTCAAAGTATATTTGAATCTCTTTCCCCCATTCCCGTTTAAAACAGCCTCTTAACGTGCCTGTATGGAGTCCCCTCTATGGCCGCTGTTAGTGTTACTTATTGGTAATTTCACCTTGCCTTCACTCTACATGAAGGCACTGCATGGCTTTATCGCCAATTTTCCCATAACACTGTAATAGAACCGATAGGGCAGAGGACACAACAAATAAAATGTTTCTATGAAGGAAGGCTAAAATAAACCTTCAAGTAAAGATTGGGGGAACTGATTTTTCTTGAAGGAGGAAGAAAAAGCTTAAAACAAGGCAATTTTTTTTTTTTTTTGCTTTGAGATCAGATTTTATGCATAATTTTTAAAAAAAGAATAGAAACGCATGTTTTTTAATCCTTTTTTTCCAATTTAAGAGGAGCGCAAATACCAAAACCACAAAACCATTTAAAGAAGTGAAGCCTCGAAAAAAAGAGCTACTTTGAATGCCATCCAAAAAGGTCAATGTCCCCAATAAAAAAAAAAGGAGCAGCCAGACTACTACAAGCCTTGTAGTTAAAAGAATTGCTAAAAATGCTGGGTTTACTGTTGATTGTACAGCAACCCTTTTAGAATGGAGAAAATAAAAGCATAAATTACCACTGAAAATATTCTCCACATTTTCTCCAGGTGAAAATTATTTTCAGTTTTTTTTTTTTTTAATAATAATAATAATAAAAGATCTGTCACACAAACACGTTTTCTGATTGTGCATTTGCTATTACATACTCTGCCTCCAAATCTGGATATTAAGAAGAAGAAATCCCTGACAAATCTAATTCCAGCTTAATCCCATCTAATCAATCACTGTAAATACCTCTCTAAAATCTTTTATTATTTATCTGATGACAAATTTCAAAACTCTAACAAGCCTCACAAAATTTGAATGTATGTGAGTCAATTTGCTTATTTAAATAAGTCGGAGGCTAAACTCTTTTTCAAGCATCATAAATGTTTGCAACATCAACCATCTAACTCGTCGCTGCTCATTGATTGCCACCACGCTAATACATTTATCCGATGTAATTATATTTTATCAAATTCAATAGATAGTTTGAACAGCATGTTGGGTGCTTTAAAAAGATTAGTATGGATTGTAAATGCAAAAACATTGTTTTCAGCGTGGCTGTGTGTAGGGGGAGTATACATCAAGCTCGTGCTTTTTAAGCACATGATCGGCGCATCAAAAGTGATCAAACTGAACCCTGAGACAGCGTGCCCTTGTGTCCACAGCAGATATGTGCACCGTACACATGTGGCAGCACATAAAGAGGGGGGCGTGTCAGCCCCATCTTTCAACCAGACAAGTAAAAGTGAATACATCCGTGTTTTCTTTCCGATAGCTTGTGCACATTTTAGCCAGTGCACCTGACTTTGATTGAAGCAGCCTGTTAACTTTAATAGGTGCTTGGCCAGAGAGCCCCAGGCAAAGTGGAAAGAAACGTCACAGTTGGCAAAACACATCAGAGACAGAACATGAATAAAACTCTTATGTAAGTGCAAAAAGCATAAACTCACCGTCTTTGAGTCTAATTCATGGTGCTGTTGAGCTAAGACTTTATCTACACTGGCAGCATCTGTAAACGTAACAAACCCAAATCCTCTGCAAAACAGAAACACGGAGAAGTTTAGAATTTTTATTCACAGAGAATTCACTCAAAAATAACATTTTTATTTTTTTGTAAATAAGTATTAGGAATTTTATACAAAGTTAAAACAATGTGAAAGACAAAAGTCCTAACATTCATGTGACCTTATTACTGTTACATTTTTTTTTTGTAAATATATCACAGCAGAAATGTAAAACAGGCACGTGGGGGGACAGCGCTGAACATTATGTGGTGTGTTACACAGTGAGACGACGCTCCACCAACATTGTGGTGCAGTCACAAAGTCAATGTCAAATTGCAATCGGCCGCAGCTTTACAGCAGCGAGCATTTAAGCTTATCTGGCTCGCTGTGAAACCACACGCAGGCGCGCGCGCGCAGACAGGGACACTCGGAGGCGCGCGCGCGCACGCACACACAAGCTGGATTAATACTAAACACGGTCAAAGTAAGCGATATCGTCATGTGCAGTGGGAAGGAAAAGTAGGGGAAAAGCCCGGTATTTACCTTGAACGTTTTGTCGTGGGGTCTCTCATCACCATACATTCTCTTATTTCTCCGAATTTACTAAAATAGTCTCTAAGGCTGTCTGTGAACACAGAGAATATGTCGGGTTATTTGACAGAAAACATATGGGAACGCTGTTGTCACTGCATTTCAAATAAAAAGGAAGGAAATGGTGAGGGTGGGGGGGGAACAGAACACCCCGCGATGCGCATAGGGGTCGAATAGAGGACTTCAGATGGACGGAGATCAAAAATAACATCGTGCGCACACATACTACTGAGATATCCCATACAGAACACTACTGCACAGACAGGGCACATTCGCACATACACCGCCAGCAGCTAACGAGCACTCAGTCACAGCGACAGAGAGGAAGAAGAAGAAAAAAAATCCCTAACAAGAAATATTGGACACGGCGACAAAAGAGAATATCAGTCTCACCTGGTGAGGTTTGCCAGCTGAGGCCACCGATAAACATTTTACTGTAAGGGGAAAACACAACAGAAGTGAGTCCAGATGTCAGTTCGGCCATTTTGACGACTAACTACTTCTAAAAGCGACCTTAAAGGATAAAGGGAGACTATGAAAGCACATTCGCTTTTAGTAATTACTCTCTATCTACATAAAAGGGGGAGGCCACTCTCGCTACAAAGCTGTGGTGTTTAAAACTGCATCTGGGAACGGACCCGTGCACGGGTTTAAGTGCGTACTGCGCGAGGACGAATCCAGCACGGCAGCCGAAGTCCTCTCCAAGATGTTGTAACATGAAAAAAAAAAAAAAAAAACGTACCTTAGGTTTAAATTTAGAAAAAGATTCTTACCCCGGGTCATGTTGTGAATCATTTAGGCTTCCGGACGTGGCTTGACTCCCGTCTCCTTCCATATCTATTCCAAACTATAGAGGCTGGGACTACAGTAACAGTGACAGACACACACAGATAGGGCAGGAGATATGCAAAGCCCCGCTATGAGAATATTACTGAGCCGGGAATGAAAGCGTCACACGTGGGATCAGCTCAGCCCCTGCTCCCTCCTCCCTCTCTCAGCACGCTCTACCTTGGCCCACAGGGGGCGGAGCTTGGCTCTGTCACCTAACCAATCCAATTGACGTCAATTCAGGCAATCTGCAAACCAATCCTCCGATTTGTCATTTAATTAAGCAATAAGCCACTGGAGGTACTTCTGGCTTATTGCTCTTCTAAATCAGTGGACACAGTCTGTAGCAAATATATGTATTTTAATTGATATTGTTTATAAGTTACTATATAATAAAGAAGACACACGTTCAGTAGTAATTTACATTTAGATCTTAATCTTCTCCAATAAAGCTGTCTCCTGGGAAGAATATATAATATATGACTTTTCATATTTTCTCCTTCATATTTAATTCATCTTGAATGTTATGTTTTTGAATATATTCACAGTTTAATTCAGCTGAAAGCTTCATGATGTGTGAACCAAAGACTACGGTTGCAGCACCACAAGCGTCCATCTTGTTTGAAATTCAACAATGATCGGAAGCGTAACAACTGAAGAAAAAAAAGTTATTCACTATTTAATCTAATTAGATCAGCAGCGTTTACTATCTGAGACACAGCTACAGTGAACTGCAAACATATTCAAAACCATTTGAACTTTATTATGTTGCTAAAACTTTGGTTTGTAGTTTTATGTATTTAATATAAACTTTATGTGATAGAATAACATGAGAGCGTAAAGAGATCTTTTTTTTTTCGTTGATCAAGCCACACATTCTCATTTGGATTTAGGTACTTTCAGTAGGCTGTTAAAACAAATTAACATGCATTGTCCTTAATCATGTCATAGTAGCTCTGATCATATTTTTAAGACTATTGCTCTGTGGAAGGTGAACTTCGATGGAACTAATTGATTCCTGATGCAGCCTTTTTGGGTTCAATTCCTGACCTTTGAACCTGCAGGTCTTCCCCCCTTCACACTCCTCTTATTCCCTGGTCACTATTCATGAAGTTCACTATCACAGTCACGATCATACTTTATTTTATGTGTGTAAATTCTAATGGTAGCTCTATGACGGCATGAAAACATATGCTGCAGTAACTGTGGTATTTATATCTAAGCATTTTTTTCGGAAGGCATGTTTTCACAAGCCAGTATTGTTTAAGTCATTACTCACCTGTTTTGTATGTGCAAAAATGCAGTCGACACATCTTTCAAGCTCACATCTAATGAGACTTTGTTTCCCTCATTCTTATTCTGGTTGTGAAAGACTTGGGATTTAACATTTATTGGTCCTTTGTTTCCCACAAATAACTTTACAGACCCCATGGAGGACTGTGCCTCAGCATTAGCTGATAAGGCAAAAATAACTCAAAAAAATTTATCATGTAATCCAATGAGTTCCTTGACCTCTGACACTATAACACTGTTTGTTTGCTCTATTTCTGCTTGGGGGCGGAGCCATCATTATCTCAGTAAAGGATTATGTGTAGGGACATTTGTGTGAGCATTCATAACTCATAGCAAATTTTCAGATTTCTTTTTCAATAAAACTTTAGAAAACAATATAAAAATTTTTTCTTCCACCTTACAATTATTGATGTACTGCAATTTTACAGTTTACAAACTCGAAGGTTTGCTCGCAGCTAAATGATAGTTTTAAACATGATGCAGCTATGCCATCAGAGCTGAAATGGTAACAATACACTCAGCTTGCTGAATTATTAAAACATCTCCCACCCAAAGTGATGAAATGCAGCAAAGATTGAGCAGTGGTTTTAGGACAGATAAATTAAAGAAAGCTCTTTGAGGCACAAAATCAATGTTCAGCTCTGTTCACGTGTCCCTGAGCAAGATACTGAATCTCAGCCGCTGACCCAAAGGTCTCACCTTCAACTGCCTTATTCATCACAATAGCCAACAAAAAGAAATTTCCCATGGGGATCAATAAAGTCTGGTATCCGTACATACAGTAGTGTAATTATGGATCTTTTCATGTAGATGACCTATAATGAGCTGTCAGCCCTGCCCTCTGCACAGTGTACACAGAGATAAGCTGGCTCTGCCTTTTAATAACCTTGAAGAGGTACAAAAAAAAAAAAAGCTTAGTAAAATATTAAGAATGAATGAACAGAGAATGGTGGAAAGGAAGAAATGTTTACGGCCTAAGACAATATTTTAAAAATGAGTCAGGAGTCAAACAGAAATGTCACATAAATGCAGTTCTCATTAATTCTTGTATAAGGAGTCTTCCAGTTTTCCATGTGAAATGTGACTCGTGATCCGGTTTTATTATTCACAGTCGGAGAAGCCTTTTGAATAGGCCTGTCTTCCCTGACTGTTGAGGGTTCCACCACAGGGAATTTCTTATCTGGCCAGGCAGCATGTTTTTGAAACAATGCTGAAGATAAAACCCAAATAACAACACTTTTGTCAGTTTAGCAGCTAAAAGTCTGTCATTAGTTTTGGGACTTTCCACACAGGAGCTGTCTGTAGCTCTGAAACAAAGGTGCGCAGCCAAATAGTAATTCCTCGCTGCATCGGAGTGTCATAGAAAATGGAAATATGACGCCGTGTGAGAAAGACTATTACACCGTCTTTGCACTGTAGTTCTGTCCCATGCCATTTTGTGATGCATTTATGATTACATTACTGTTGTCAGATGGGAGGCAGGTTCTTTATATGTCTCCCCCAGAAAAAAAAAAGAAAAAAAAATGCACGCTCTCATCCAGCTGCACAGACACAAACAAGTGAGGGAGGTTATAAATTGATGTTGAACGCGAGCTCTAAGGAACAACAAGCTCTAAAGCCCATTGCGAGGTGTACGAAAATCACTGTGGATTTAACACGTGAAGAGCAACCTCTGTTTTACGCTCAAAATAAAAACACTGGAGGCTCTGCTTTCACGGTGGGATTGTGAATTATTCAGTTTTCTTATCATAGTTATTACGGCCGTGCCATGACGGGAGTCAAGTTAAACATGTTTGGGAGGGTACTGTTGGTGTGACATTTTATCATATTTTACAAAGAGTTGCACATTTGAAATCTAGACGTGTTTGTGGCAAAATAAACACCGACGCCTCACACAATCACAACTTTTCATATCTCTTATGTTCCAAGCAAATAACTCAAAATATTTTTGGGATAAGGGACATATGTATGTAAATAAAATTTAGTAAGTGTGGTGAGCATTTGCACACAGCCCCACTCGGTTCTCGTTTTGTAGAACGACTTTCTGCTGGTGTTTTGGGGTATGTCTCCGCCGGCTTTCCACATGTAAACAAAACAAAATGAAATGCCTGCTTGAGTTCAGTCAAATTTGAAGGAAAATATATGAGTAGCAAGTTTCTAATCTTACCACAAATTCCAGATTCCTACTCAGAAATTTGCATCAATCCATTTTCACGCTGGGATTATGTTCAGCATTGTTCTGCTGCAAGGCCAAAGTCCCAGCTCTTTTCTTCCAACGGTGTCCTACATTTAGGTCTCTCCAACTTCCCATCACCTCTGACCAGCTTCCATGTCTTGGCTTAATGTCTTCGCACGGCACAACACTACCAGCACCATATTTTGCAATGGGGATGGCGTGTACATGGTAGTGTAGTGTTAGTTTTCCGCCTCACATAACATTCAGTTTGTAGGATCTCTACGTTTCTTCAGCGGTGTCGTAGTGTGACTGCGTTACTAAAAAATACCTTCTTCAATTAGTTTAGATCCAGTTTGGGAGCGTCGTGTCCTGGTTTTACAAAATTCGTATTTTCAGATGATGGACTGAATATCTCTCAGTGAGATCTCCAAATTTTGGGATATTGTTTTCTAACCTATCTGTACTTCAGATTTCTCTGCATCTTTGTTCTTGTCCTCTCTGCTGTGCCCCATGGTCTCTATGCTGCCTTTACAGAACAACTAACACAAGCGTAGACTTTTTGACAACTACTTGGGTTGACTTCTGTAGCCGGTTGGTTGAGGGGTATCAGAGAACAAAGGGCTCACTATAAATGCCCTCTATCCTTGTCGGATTTTATTTCACAAAAATAATTTGAAACCATTCAAAATTTCTCTTCCACTCAGCAATTCTGCTCTCCAATCAGCACTGGAATGTGTGGCTCTAATCTAATCTAACAAGTTCAAAGGGGATAGACGCTTTTCTCGGCCACTGTATGTGAGTTCATGATTTTTGTCTCTGGGTCTGTGCACAACACAAACTGGAAGAGAAATCTTTATAGATTTTTAAATAAAGCTGTGCTCCGCTTTAATCCGAGCTGCCCCCACAGCCGGATGAAAGTGCCTAAAATGTTTATTCCTCTTTAAGCAACTTCAGTCTGACAGCCATTCTGGCTTCTTTTGCTTCTTTACATAAAACTATGTGCAAACCTCTCTTTTTTTCCCCCCCCATTGAAAGTAATGCAGAGCGTACAGTTCCATCACCATTACTTGGACACATTTATGAAGGTGACAGTGTCTGACAATGTTTTGATTAATTGGGAGACAACACGTTTCAAGGAAGACATTTTTTGTGTCCCGCATCCCCAGAGCTCGTCGTCATTTACATAACATTTAGGGAAAAGGAGAGATTTTCTCCGAGCCTGTCGGTGTATTAGTGCAAGCCTGTAGTCAGCGGCGAAATGTGAAGCGCTTCTCAATTGAGAGAGGGGTCGGGGGGAGAAAATCTTTGTTGCTAACTGCCTCGTTGCATAAAAAATGGAGGATTTGTGGGAACTGAGGGAAGAAGCATACTTCATAATGTGTGGAAGCTAAAGAGACAAGGAGACAAGAGGGAAACGACGTTGTGAGAGGCATTATGTTTCCGACCTGGTGATCTTTACCTGACCTTGTCAAGAAGAAAGAAGTTCCTAAAATCCTCTGCAGGACTTTTTACCTGAATGAAATCAGAAATAAAATACATTAACCTCTCAACAGAAAATGATGTCTAACATTCTTTAAAATGAAATTTGAAGCTGAATTGGGATCTTGCATATCAACAGAACCACATGTTCTCAGAGTGTACTCCTGTGTGAAATGATCTACTGC